GTGCTTTATCGAAGTGTTCAAGAACAAAGATTTCAGTGACATTTGAGACCCTAAAAATGTGACAGTGGAGGGACTATATATTAGTAGATTAGCAAAGTTAAGAGAAGAGAACGAGGATTTTTATACTTTCCGCGTTTGGTGAGGAATAGTGAAATGCGTCGGCCGTGTATCCACAAAACCCGCAACGGCAAGAAATTTTTTGGGATTCGTTAAATAACACGAGATGAATAACGGGAATTACAACCCAACAACTGTTTCGCCTATGACTTAACGCCCAGAAACTGACTCTATAACCACAAAATGGGAACAAATCATGGTGTGAATACAGCAGTGAAGATCGGATGAAACACAGCGAAGCGGCTGCTAACGAAGCGTCTTATGGCAATTAATTTCATTATGCGTTTTTGCTGCCCAGCGCTATAGCACTGTTGCATAGCAAAAACGCACAGTGCTATAGCGCTGCTACAGCCAGCAAAAACGCATATTGTCGAGAGGTCATCTGTGTGTGTGTGTGTTAGGAAGCGAGTGAATTTTGTTACCTGCTTTCATTTCAGCAACCAGGAAAGCTGGGAGGCTGGAATTTTGGATATGTATTCCTACTCCGTGTGGTATCTACCCGTTTTAAAATTTTCGCTCATACGCGCCTGGACCTTGTATACGAACCCCCGAGGAAATATGCAAATTTCTTTGGCGGGAAACAATTTTGCGAACTAGGCAAGGTACAAAGCTGAAACTGTAGGAATATTTTCTGTGCACGTGCGAGCTAAAGGTTTCAAATTCAGCTGTCGCGCACGCTTGTACAGTGCGTACGAGCACGTCAAAATTTGCAACTCGGTACTATGCTAACTGGAAAACTTGCCGGAAAACAGTGGCTGAAATTTTGTCAGCATATTTATCGCCCATATGGGAAATCGTATACCTAAAATGAGTGGCGATTTGCACTTGTGCCACCATTTAGGGCACTTCAAAGATATTTGTATCGAAGTGGCTATTTCGCTTGCCGGATAAGAAGCGTGGCTGAAACTTCGCTGGGATATTCTACTTTCATGCATGGTCTTAATTCTGCTTGGAGGTGAAATTCCCCAATTTGGTTATGAGAAATACTCAGATTTACCGAAAAATCAATCCAGGCTGGAATGCACCAGGCTCTCCGGTGCGATCACGCGTTTTTGCACTAAACTCGCAGATCGCTATTAGCAAGACGCTGTAATCTAACACTTGGGCTCATATTGGCCGTGCTTTGGCCTCTTCCGGCATGCAGGAAGAAGGGCGTCAGTTGGGATGAAGGTGGTGCATTATAGAGCCGCACAAACATCCAGGTGCATGATTACCGGTTTTTTGCATGAAGTCCGGTCGTTTTTTCGGCAAATGCTCGCTTTGCGGGAAAATGACAAATGCAAATTTTTTGAAAAAATGCAAATTTCCAGTTCAATAAAAAGTGGAAGTATTGCTCGAGAGGTCGTTTGTCAAAAAATTCACGTCCGTTTACATACACGATTGCGGCTCAGGCCCGAGCTGGGAACGATTTTTTTGAAAATATGCAGATTTTTAATTCATTGAGAATTGAAAGTATTGCTCGAACGGTCGTTTTTCAAAAAATCCATGTTCATTTGCATATACAATTGCGGTTCAGATCTGAATTGCTAACGATTTTTGGGTTGAGGAGCTACGTGAGACTGTGGTTGGGGAGCTAGAGAGCTGAGTTTAAAATTATCTCGCAAATGCACAGAGAATA